GTTGGCCATGCCCCCACCAGCATGGTGGGTGACTCCACAGGCTATCTCCAAGAAAAGCAAGGCTCCAGGGTGGTGATAGAAGGGGAAACTGGGCAGCAGCAAGCAAGAAGTCCCAGGAAAGACCCCATTGCCAGGCCGGAGCAGAGATGGGGCTGAGGGACCATACCCAGCCCAGTCACTCAGGCAAGACCATAGCTAGGCAGTGTGGTAACTCTGGTCTCTGCTTCTGCCCCCCACGCCAGCACCATGCAACCCCATGGGGACTCCTGTAGAGGAGGAGCTCCCCACCAGGCAAAGGCAGTGATGTCAAAGAGTCAAGAGGGAGGGAGGGAAAAGCTGAAAGGAAGGAAAGGAGGAGAGGAGGGGGAAAGCAACACACCCCAGGCTCCTCCCAGGAGCCTCCTGTCTCCTTTTGGCTCAAAGGCATCTGGGTTCATCATCACGCCAGCCTTTGATGCGGCTACTTTCCCAAGGCCTCTCCACCATCCCTCCTCTATGGGGCGGTGGACTAGATCCCTCTCCCTGGTTCTCCATAGCAGTCCCTCCTACCACAGCAGCATAGAAGAAAGGAGGAAATGCTGGGGAGCAAAGACCGTGATCCAAACTGCATATCCCTAGCTGTTATCAGTGGGCAGTGCCCCAACCACAAAGATTCCAGGAGGTGACAGGACAAGGATCAATCCCCACCATAGTCTGGGGTTTCTGTTCTACTAATCCCATCCCTAACTAAGCATAGATTTCAGTTTGCTTTCTGGCCACCTGAACCTTGGGTAGCTATGTCTCATATCCATGATTGTGTCTACTTAACCTACCCCCTTGTCACCTGCAGGATGCTGCATTTAAAAGAAAAAAAGCCTTGAGTATGTCTTCTCTGAGCAAACCCACTGGATAAAACCTCAATTCTCCTTTTCTTTCCTCTCCTTCTTCCATCCTTTCTCCTTGCTTTCTTTTCTTCTGAGAGGGCAAGATAGGTTAAACATGGTGGTCTCCCCCAGATCTGTGTCATATTCTGAGTCAGAGGCACCCTAGAGATGGCCCTCTCACCTCCCTCTCCCAGCACAGAAAACTCATTTGGAGAGGCCAAGGTCTTGTTCTTGGTCACGGGGAGTATACAATGTAACTGGTCTAAAAATCCAAGCCTCCTGGCCCCCATTCGAGGTTCATACTAATAAATCAGGCCTTTTGGCTTTCATTTGCTCCTGCTGGCTGTGCCCAAAGGGCTCCAATTCTGGAACCTTAGAGAGTTGGAGCCCAGTTGGCTTCATTGACCTCTGGTTACCTCCTAGGGGATAGAAACCAGGTGGGCTGAAGTGGTGGGAAGGGGGAGGAAAAAAGAAAAAGCAGGCTCATGAGGGCAGGCTCAGGGAGGACAGAGATAGGCAGAGGGTGCCAAGGGTAGCAAGTGAAAGGATTACCCCAGTCTGCTGACGAGTGCAAATTATATTTATATATGTGCTAAATACAGTCACTATATTGGAGTTTTTCACTAGATCACAGCATACAGAATCAAAGGTTTGCATTTTGTATGGAATGTATCCAAAGAGGCCAGCACCACAGTAGGACAGCTTGCAATCACACACCCTGATAGTTTGGACGAAATAAAGTTCGCGGAATTTTATTTAAAATTTTTTTTTGTATTCGTAGTTGTCATCGTACCAATGCATGCAAAGCATTCCACTCCCAGAAACAACGCCAAAATGAGGTAATAGGAGTAATAAAAAAAATTAGTATCCTTTCTAAATAAATAAATTATAATTAAAAATGCAAAACAACTATAAAAATAATTAAATAAGAACCCACGATATCTACAAGTTAGTCATAAATTATGATTGTTAAATATAAGGCATTTAAACTCACAAAACCCTGTAAACTAGCAACGTGCCATTTTTTTTTTGTTTTTTTTTTTTCATTTTTGTTTTTCTATCAGCTGAATTCGCTCTAGCATTTGCTCTACGCGCGCAGGAGATGAAACACGAAGGAACCTGACAGACGTTGCTACAGCCCCACATGGGGAGTGTTTGTCCCACCAGCAGGCGGGGGGCTTGGGGGATTTCTTCAGGAAAAAAGAAAAAAAGTCTGGTGCTTTTTTCTTCACCATTGAAAAAACTGTGCTTGTTCATTAGGCGTAAAGAGTTAAGAATGCTTGCACGGAGGCTGGGGACCTTTGCGGAGAGGAGCTCAAGTCCTGCCACAGATGGTGGGCAAGGGTGACAGGGGGCCAGGAGGCCTGGCCAGTTGTAGGAGCCTGCAGCCCCTGCCGCCCTCTGCCTGTGCCCAGCTGGGCTCGTGGCGTCGGGTTGATTGGCGTCCTCGGTGGACCCACTGCAGTCATGGCTGCGGTTAGGAGGCCCAACTTGAACCTGGGGCCACTCTCGCCCCAGAAGGCACTCATGCGTCTCAGTCAGGAAAGGGTCTGAGTCCCTTGAGTTGAGCAGGAGGACTACAGGTGTCTCCCTCCTGGAGGTGGTGGTGTGAGATGCTGAGGCCTGATTCTGCCTCTTTCCAGTTCTCCCAGGCTCCCTGACCAGTAAGAAAATGGGAGCCAGGAGGGCTCTGAGTGGCTGCCCCCTCCTGTTCCTATCTGCAGGACACAAGGACCCCAGAGAGATGGGAAAGGGAGGGGGCTTCAGGATCTACCCCCTCCCCAACCCAGTCCCTAATATTAGCTGGGGGCACTCAGACAGCCTGCAGAGAATGGGAAGGACGAGGGAATCAGGTCCCACTCTCACTCAGCATGTATGCCCTCAGCCTCTGAAACACATGTTCTTGCCCACAAAAGTCCTTTTTAACAGCCTGGTTGGCACACAGCTCTACAACTTGAAAAATGTGTTGATGGTAGGGAGGATCACAGAATGTGTGTTGGGAGAAATTTAGCAAGCATCCCATCCAACCTCTTTGTGTCGTAGCTGAGGAAACTGAGGCCCAGAGAGGCGAGGGCTGGAGGTGGAGGCTCTAGCATCACCCAGTTTGTCAGTGAAGAGCCAGGACTAGAACCAGGACATCAGCTTCAGCTTCAGTTCCATCCTGGTCCCCCACCAACTCCCTTCCCCCAGGCCAGCTCCAGAGGAAAGAATAGAAAAGTGTCCTAAGAGAGAAGTGGAGTAACCTGCCTGGACCACCCCAATACCTCCATCCAGGCAAAAGTCATCTTCTGATGAAATCTGGGTTTTGATCCACTCATTGGGAGTGCATTTGGAGAATGCCTAACTTTCTGTGGTTATTGGTAAAGCAGCTTCCCTGACATCCCCGCTAGTGTGTGTGTTGGGGAGGACGGGAGGAAATGTCCAGCCTTTGTCCTGTAGACATCGTTCACATACTGCAGTCACTGAATTGGATGGTGCAATGCCCATCACTGCTAACCCTGAATCTCAGACTAGTCACCATTTTTACACTATTGAATGTAAGTTGTCTCCTCAGCTTGACTGTAAGCTCCTCCAGGCAGGACCATTGTCCTCTTTTCCAGCACCTGCACCAGTAGGCACTCACCAGAAAATTGGCACTGGAAGAAGCCTTCATCTGGATAACGGACTGGAGTAACCTCCCTCAGGTAGAGAGCTGCTTCCCCTCTCTTTGACCACTTGTGCCCAGAGCAGCCATTCCTCAAGATGGCACCAGTTGTTCTAGAAGGATCCATCTCAAGTCAAAATCAGCCTCCCTGTCATTTTCACACATTAGTTCTGGTTTTATCCCTGGCAACAGCAATACAGACTCAAGTATCCTTAACCACGGGGCATTTCTTCATTTATGTGATGAGTATCCTGTGTCCTCGATTTACTAATAGGAGGACAATGAAACTGGCTAGGGGTCTAGGTCAGGGGAGATGTTGAGAGCAGTGCAAATGAGGGAAGAGGAGGAGAGAGAGGGGCAAAGGAAAGCTGCAGAATCCCAGCTGACCTTGTGTTTTCCACATATGGATACAGACAATTGAGAATGGGTTGGAATTTGGTGGGTTTCCCACCTCCGATCTTCTGTTCTCCTGTCTCTCTTCTCCCTTTGGGGTGAGAAAAATTATCGGTTGTGCAGAAAGAGACACTAGATAGAGTTGCTTGGAACAGGTCTGTCTCTCCTAGCACCCCTATCCCTAAACTCCAACAGTTTCCAGGAGAGAGCAGAGAGTACAGAGTGTGACGGACAAAGTTCTAATCCTCACAGCATCTAGGTGAGGTAGAGGGAGTGGAAATGGGGATGCACTATTGTTTCTCCCCCACTGCAAGGAGAAGGAATCTGAGGCACAGAGAAAGAAAGGGACTTTCCCAAGGTTATTAAAGAGTCAGAGAAGGAGCTGGAGGCTAAGGACACAGGTCTCCCAACCCAGCCAATGTGGTCTCAGAGCCAGGGCCATGTCTGAGAGACTGATCAGAACTTGAGACATCCTGAAGGAGGCTCAAGTTCATCTCAAGGTCCACAGTGCTTGACCTCAGCCCTGAGTGCTAGCTGAGAGCACTTTGGCCAAGGCCAAGTGTCCATCGCCTATGCTGTTTTATCTGTATCATCTGGTTACTTTTTTTTTGCATAGGGAGGCAGTGGCTACATTGCCTCTTTGCGACAGGACAAGAGCCCAGCCTAAAGAAAGGAGCTGGAGTGAGCAAGGGCCTGCTGGCTCCCAGGAACACAGGGGCAGCTGCAGCTGAAGACTGTGTGCCCTTGATTCGGTGTGGAACCAGGAGGAACAGCTGGGGCTAAGCGATGAGCCCTGGAACTGGGGAGCCTGCCCTCAAGACAAACCCCTTCACTTCCTTGCCTGCTCTGAATCCCTCAAAAACCCCAGTAAGACCCCCATTTGCATTTTTTCTCAGCCCTCACCTTCCCAGGTGCCTCTTCTACACTCCGTGCACTGTAAACATGAGAAAAACAAAAGCCAAGGAAAAAACAAAACAACAACAAAACGAAAGCCCTCCCTCCCGCCTTCCAACCTGGGTGAAAAAAAAATCTCATCTTTTTTTCACCATAAACAGGATTTTGGCTTTTTTTTTTCACCTTTGATTCCTTTTTCCTTTTCTCTCATAAAGACGGGAAGATTGGGGCTGTCGTTGGTTGGTTCGGTCAGGCACCAAAACAAGAAACTCAATGAAAAATATTTGGTGCAAGTTCAGTAATAGCGACATGTCCACCACAGATGACTAGAGCACCACACACGACATTTTTCTTAAGCTAACATGCTCCGGCTGCCATCCACAGAAATAGTTAGAGACCCCTACATGATTTCTACATGGTCGAGAGGTATATACACAATCCTTCAAAGGACAGGATTGAGGGGCCGGTCTACCAGCTAGTACCCTCGGGATCACATGTAGTTCTCAGCAGCTGGGCCCCCCCTTCCCGCCCCTGCTCTGGGCACGGCCAGCTCCCTCCCTCCTGTGCAGCAAGGCGGATGGGGCAGTCGCCATTCTGGAAGGGTGGGTTCTCCCCCACCCCTCCTCTCCCTCAGACACTGATACCACCAACTCCTCTTTCCACGAAATGTGCTTGCAGGCTTCTCCTCTACGTCAAATGGCTCAGAAGGCAAAGTTTGGCTGCAAGGGCTATGGCCGTGGGGGGACCTGGTGAAGGAAATGGGGTGTCCACTGGCTAACTCCTCCCTCAGCTGTCGGCTCCCAGTTGTGTCTCAATGTCCACTCGGCAGATGGGGCATTTCTTGCTCATGGCGAGCCACTGGTCCACGCACAGTTGGTGGAAGAGATGCATACAGGGTAGGCGTCTGGAAGACAGAAGAGTCAGGTGACCAGCAGCAGGGATGAAGCAAGCAGGGTGAGGGACACTGAGGGGACTAGGATCACTGGGGAATTGTCAAAGAGGATCTTGGGAGCCCTGCCCTGGAATGAGACTATTGTCAAGATGGGAAACCATAACAGAAAGTGAGTCTCAAGGCCCTTTCCCTCCATGAAGCCCTTTCAGATCAGCCTGAAACAAAGCCATGACTTTGTCTTAGATCTATCCAAGCTAAATATCACACTGCCACCTTGCACTTTGCTTCCGTGAGTTCGTACGCTTGGCACCACATCTAGAACATTCCATGCCCCACCGTCTCAGTGCAAGCAATAGGCAAACAATAGCACTCTTGGCGTCCTCACATGCACATGTAAACAGGTGCGCTCATCCCTGGACATGCAATGCAGTGACTGGTCACCAATACCCGTGAGAGAAAGGGGAGAGACTCAAAGACATGGCCTCCTACCTCACATCTTCTCCATCCTCCAGCATAGACAGACAAATTGTGCATTTCTCATCTGTATCTGACTCTTCTCCCTCTTCTTTCTTGCCCTTGCCATCCTGGGGTCTTCGCTATGAGAAAGAGAGAGAGAATTCATTCATTACCTGGGGCAGACTCGCCTGGTAGCCATTGGCTTTCATCCACAGTCTGCTCCTGCCTTGCAGCCTCCTCTTTCCCTAGGGGTCAGGCTCTTTATACCTTCTTTTCCCAAACCCCTCTCCCATGTGACAGGAGAAAGACTAAAGTCAACTAAGGAAGAGGCCAAGGGGACTTCACATTTGCTGTCCTAAGCACTGATCAGGGGCCCAGAGTTTGGTGGTACCCTAATGAATCCTCCCTTGGCAAAGCTGTGGCTGTTGCCTAATAGCTTCCCTCTCAGTTCACTCACACTGTCCACATCTCACACACGTCCAACCTACATCATTCTCTCATTCATACATCCATCCATTCACTCGTTCACTCAGGAAATGGCCATTCACTTATGTATTGTCATTTTTAGATGAAGACAAAATCCTCCACGCAATATTAACTCCTGTAATTTGTACCACTGTTGGGAGCTATTCTGTACTGCCGGATTTCTCTTCCTATCAGAAAGTTCCCTTAAGATAGGCTCTAGCTCAGAATAGCCATCATTAGCAACACCACTAACAACAGGTGTTGGTGAGGATGCGGAGGAAAAAGGAACCCTCTTACACTGCTGGTGGGAATGTAGACTAGTACAACCACTCTGAAAAAAAGTTTGGAGGCTACTTAAAAAGCTAGACATTGCTCTACCATTTGATCCAGCAATACCACTCTTGCGGATATACCCAAAAGAATGTGACTCAGGTTACTCCAGAGGCACCTGCACACCCATGTTTATTGCGGCACTATTCACAATAGCCAAGTTATGGAAACAGCCAAGATGCCCCATCACTGACGAATGGATTAAGAAAATGTGGTATCTATACACAATGGAATTTTATGCAGCCATGAAGAAGAACAAAATGTTATCATTCACAGGTAAATGGATGGAACTGGAGAACATCATTCTGAGTGAGGTTAGCCTGGCCCAAAAGACCAAAAATCATATGTTCTCCCTCATATGTGGACATTAGATCAAGGGCAAACACAACAATGGGATTGGACTTTGATCACATGATAATAGCAAGAGCACACAAGGGAGGGGTGAGGATAGGTAAGACACCTAAAAAACTAGATAGCATTTGTTGCCCTCAACGCAGAGAAACTAAAACAGATACTTTAAAGCAACTGAGGACAATAGGAGAAGGGGACCAGGAACTAGAAAAAAGGTTAGTTCAAGAAGAATTAACCTAGAAGGTAACACACACGCACAGGAAATCAATGTGAGTCAACTCCCTGTGTAGCTATCCTTATCTCAACTAGCAAAAACCCTTGGTCCTTCCTATTATTGCTTATACTCTCTCTTCAACAGAATTAGAGATAAGGGCAGAATAGTTTCTGCCTGGTATCGAGGGGTAAGGGAGGCAGGGGGAAAGGGGGAGAAATGACCCAAACATTGTATGCACATATGAATAAAATAAAAATTAAAAAAAAAAAAAGATAGGCTCTAGCTCCAGTATGAGGTTAGATATTCAGCCACACATTTCTACTTGTTGACTTCCATATTTCTGTTTCTAATTCTATGCTAATTATTTGGAAACAGTTAACCACTGTGTAGAAAGTTTCAAGTTCTCAGATGACCCTTTTTTATATGCCAAGTACAAGGCACGTTGTTACCACCTAATAAGTATTCTGGGGAAGGAAGAATCTAATGGGTGAATGAAATCAGCCTACCTCTCACATCCCCATCTCCATGACGTGTGTGAAAAAGACGGTGATAACCCTGGGGGGAAATGACCTGTTCTATCCCCCTCCAGGCATAAGCAAACTTCAAGGTCATTTTGTAAAGAGAGAAATCTGAGGATAAAAACCACTTAGAGAATGACCTTGGGGGCCTGACCTAGATAAAGGTCTCCCTACTCTAGTCCCTGGCCCTAAGTACTGGAGTTCCTTAGGGTGATTTAGGGTGGAGAATATTCTGCCTTCTCTGAAACAAGCAAGAAAATCGGTTCCTTCTGCTCTCAGCCTCCCTGTGCCCTACACACCCCCTGCTAATCACACCAGGCTTCTGCAATGTTTCCCTTGCCAGAATCCAGAAAATCGGAATGACACCCATTGTCCCATATAATTGTCATGGATTTGAGTATCAAGAGTCATGACGATCTGCGTCCTTGAGGGTCAGATGTGTGTTCAAGAGAAGTGGCCTCCTTCCAGGTCCTGCTTGAAGAGATGTTCAAATAGCATGGTAAGACTCAACTGCTTGCCCACCTTCTATTGCTTTTCTCCATCATCATTCCAGATTTCCTTTTTAATACTTAATAATTTTAGCTTAATATAACCTTGTTTTACTCTGTCTAATCTTTAGTCCTTTAGACTATTTTCCATTTTCAAATCTTATCCTACTTCCTATTTTGTATTTTTAATCTTTCAGATCTTCTGGTTTTTGTTTTCTCTTTATCATCTATGTAACTTTGATTTTAAGTTTAATTTTTTCATCATTTATTTATTTTAATGTTTATTTAATCCCCTTTACCCTTACCTTCTTGTTTTATTGATATTCTCTTTTAACTTTGATATTCTTGATTTTAATTTTGCACATTATTTTCTGTATCTTTTCTTATTTTCCTGTTTTGATTGCATGTATTTTCTTTTTTTTTTTTTGCATGTATTTTCTACATTTTTTTCATTCTCATAGTACATGATGATCCTGGTCCTTACCCTAAGTTTCTCAAACTTTGCAAGCTTTTACCTTCCTCTAGAAGGTGAATTCTTAAAATTAATTGTTTATTTTTATAAGAGATTTTATTTGGTATAGCAGTTCTAATTTACATAAAAATTGAGCAAAAAATTGTGTGTTGCCATGTACCCTTTCTGCCCAACACACACAGTTCCCCCTAAATTTAACATCTTGCATTGTTAAAAAACATGAACCAGTGTGAATAGGTTATTATTAGCTGAGGTTCCTTAGTATACACTGGTGTTTGTTATGCTTTGAATCTGAAATGTGCCCCAAAAGTTCGTGTGTTGAAGGTGCAGTAGTCGGCTGATGCTCTTTTGGGCAATAGTTGGCTTCTGAGGGCTCTAGCCTCATTAGTGGCTCAATCCACGGATGGGTTCATAATTTGATGGCATTATTAGGAGGTGGGGCTGCCATGCCCTGGACGGGTGTATCTTGTTCCCAGCCCCTTCGTGCTCCCTGTGTTTCCTGGCTGCCCGGAGGTTAGCGGCTTTCTTCCACCATACCATTTGGGCATGATGTACTGCTTCACCACAGAAACTTAGAGCTTAGTGACCACTGATTGAAATCTGTGAAACTGTGAGCCAAAGTAAATCTTTCATTCTTAAATTGCTTTTCTCAAGATTTTTGGTTTTGTTTTGCTGTCACAGTGATAGAAAAGCTAACAGACTCAGGGTCCACTCTTTGTGTTGTATCAGTCTCTTGGTTCTAACAAATGCATGATGTCACATGCCCATAATAGCAAACAAAAGAGTTTTGCTGTCCCAAAAATCTGTGCTCCACCTATTCAATCCACCCTCCCCTCCCTCTCACTAGCAATCACTGGTCTTTTTACTGGCAGTTTTATGTTTTCCAAAATGCCATATGGTAGAAAGCCATATAGTATGTAGCTTTTGGGGGTTTGCTTCTTTCATTTAGTAATATGCATTTTAGTTTCTTCCCCATCTTTTCATGGCTTAATGGCTTATTTCTTTCTACTGTGAAATAGTATACCATTGTATGGATATACCACAATATATCCATTCACCTATTGAAGCTCATCTTGGTTGCTTCCCAGTTTTCATTTGTTTTAGTTTAAAAATGTAAAAGCCCAGGTTCCTGGGTTTCACCCCAGATTCCTGGGGACTACGCTACAGACTCTATTTCTACAGATGTAAGTTAGAGCTTGTGATTCTGTGGCTTTAAAAGCTCCCCTGGAGGACCCTGATGCTCAATCAGGTTTAGAATCCTCTGATCAGAAGTCTTCATTGCCCATAGGTCCTTGTGTGAGATTTGACATGGAATTATTTTCTAAGGCACATCTTAGCCTCTGAGCAGGAGCCCCTCTACCCACCTCATTGAGATCCAAACATGTATGTTCCCATACACCTACATGTGGACACATACACACATGCCCACTCAAGTCCACAGGCACATACACAGCCCTCCTCTTTTAGTGATGACAAGCCTCCATCTTCCCTCCCGACCACACCCAGCACAGGCAAGTGAAAAGACCAGGAGACATAACCCAGCCTCAAAACACCTAATCAGAGCAAAGGCTTTCGGAATTTGGACTGTGCCCTCTACTGATAATCAGGCCAGGGTCAAATACACAAGCCAACATCTCCCCTCCCACTCCCCAACTATGCAGGCTGGCCTGCTGCTGCCCCACCTTCTTGTACTTGTGGGGGAAGGTGAACCTCTCAATGGTGTTCTGAACAGCTCCCCGAGTCACGTTTCCCAACCTGTCCTCGAGCTGCAGCAGCTCCTGCAAGAGGAAAGCATGAACACATGTGCTCAGCATGTGCAAACACACACATACACACGTGATAAGGATGAGGGGCACCAGAAGATGTGAGCAGCAAGTGTTCACATAGCCATCGGGAAGAACTTGCCTGATGCTGAAGGACCGCAATGCTCAACTCTCTTTTTCTCTGCCTTACTTTCATCCCTAGGCTTTCTGCCACCCATGCCCTGCCCACCAGCAGAGAGGGGCAGAGGTGATGATGGATAGTAACTCAGTTGGTGCCAGACAGAGTGACATACCTCATAGCTCTCCCGCACAGCTGATGTGTGTCTGCTGGGATTTAGTCCTTGAAGAGCAAGGAAGTGAAGCTGGGGGTAAGGGTAGTTTCGGATTTCATGGACAACCTGTTTGGTAGAAAAAGGCTTGGTTAGAGCCCAGCAGACAACTCCTCCTCCCACAACCACGATTCAGCACACCCCTGAGATGCTCCAGGCAGCAGAGCTGTCCCCTCCTGGTCTTGTGACCCTCTCTCCTCATCAAGAACCAAGCTTGTGTCCAGACAAGCTCATGAAGGAATAATAACATCAATAAAGTGACTATGAAGTCTGACTGAGTACCCATTTCACAGCAGGTACTGCTCTGAGCATATCACATGACTAACCAATTTATTCACTCAACTGGTATGTGGGTGCAAGTACAATCCCCATTTTACTGATGGAATAAGTGAGGCACAGATAAATTAAATAATTGGCCTGAGTTATGCAGTCAAGTGACAGAACCAGGACTCAAACCCAGGCAGCTGGGCAGCAGAGCAGATCTCCTCCCCTGCCTCAGAGAACAGTAGGATAGCAAAGAGCTCAGGCCAGTGCAAGGCACAAAAGAGTCAGCAATCAATAACCAGTATAAATAATACTGGAATGCCATATTTTTAAGTCAAAATGAGTGCAAAAAGTCCCACTGAATAAAATATCAATTTTTTTTTAAAGGACACACTCTGGTCCCAAACTTGCTCAGCCCCTCATCCACCTCTCCCCCAGCCCTAGGAGTCAGGGAGACAGTTTCCACTGAGCTCCTCCACCTGCTCACTGTGTGTTCCAGGATCAGTTATGTAACCTCTCTGGGCCTCTGTTTGCCAATCTGAAAAATGGGGAAAATATCCAATTATGTGAGTTCACTATTGCAAGAATGAAATACGAGAACTTATGTAAAGTGCTCGGGATTGTGCCTGGCGCAGTCAGTGGTCAATAAATGTTCATTTTTTTACTCTGAAAAGATGGTCCTTCAAACACAAGCCATAGAATCTCAGAGCTGACAAGGACTTCAGAGGTGACATGCCCACAACTTGAGGAGCTAGGTGGTTAAGTGGCAGACACTGGGGTCAGAAGTTTGGAATTATACTTTAATGCACCAGTATGGAGCTGTCTGGAAATAAGATTTTCAGTCTGTCTTTTACTGCTTCACTTGTGTTCCACGCAGTTCCAGCCCAATCCTTCTGTAATGTTCTCTGCAGTTACAAGAAGGCAGGCCTGGGTCTGCAGCCCTTGGGCTCCCTCTGGAGTCTCCCTCAAACCAGCCCTGCAAGATGGCAGTCATCAATAAACACATTTCACAGATAACTAAAACCAAAGCCCCGGGAGATATGGCCACAAGAAATTAAATGAGGCCATATGAAGGTCAGAGACTGTCCTGCCTGACCTCAGCCCACCATTGGCACCCAGTGGGTGACAAGGGACACATTTCCTGCCAGGGCCCTTCTACTCACCATCTGTGTGGAGGAGGAGTTTCTGGGAAAGTGGTGCATTCGAGGAGTTGCTAGGTAATGCTGATAATGCTGAGGGATAGGCCGCACCTGGAACTGAGCGGGACTCAAGCCGGTGTCCACACTGAGATCCCTGCAGGAACACAGCTTCAGTGAACCTCAACGTGTGGAGAGGGGCCTCAGACATCAAGCCCATGGAGCAGAATCAGAACCACACACTACCAGGGCTGCTGGGGACTGTCTTATCACTCAGCCCTGCCCCTCTCCTTAAAGGGAGGAACCTGACCCAGAGAAAAAAGGGCTGGCAAGGTCTAAAGGAGCTAGAGCAGTCCAGGCCCTATAAACCTTCTTGGAAAAAAGTGTCCAAAGCTCCCTCCCAACACAAAGCCCTTTTCCGAGAGGAATGCTGAAATCAAATGGGGCAGGTCAGGGGTACATAGCAAAGGAAGGACCAGGTCCAGTGGAGGAAGGGGCAGCCACCATATCTTTATCACTTTGAGAAAACACAAAAGAAGGCTAGAAAACCACCCTAGCCCACAGCCTCCCCTCCTAAAAGCCTAGGACAACTCATTTCATTTAAACATAACTAATTAATTACACTGAAATTTTTTCCAAATTTGATGAAAACTCTAAACCCATAGATTCAAAAAGTTCAACATTATATAGACTAACACAAAGAAAATCAAATCAAACTCCTGAAAAACATTAGTAAAGATGAAAATTTTAAAACAATCCAACAATCGATAGATACAAGAGAATGTGAGTAGAATTATCATAGACTTCCCAGAAGATAGCAGAATAACAAGTTAATCTTTAAACTACTGAACAGAAAAAAAAACCCAAAAACAAAAAAATCTGTCAACTTAGAAGTCTGTCCAGCAAAAATGTCTTTCAAAGTGAGGGCAGAAAGCCAAATGCCAGTGGCTCACTCCTATAATCCTAGCTATTTGAGAGGTTGAGATCCAGAGCATCGCAGTTCAAGACCAGCCCAGGCAAATGTTTCAAAAGACCCTCATCTCCAAAAACAAAACAAAACAAAACAAAAATGGACTGGAGGTGTATCTCAAGCAGCCTGCCTTTCCCTCCAAAAATGAAGGTGAAATAAGATTTTTTCAGACAAAGAAAAATTGAAAGAGTGTGCTATCAGCAGAGCAGCACTGTAAGAAATATTAAAGGAGGTTCTCCAGATAGAAGGCAAATAATACCAGACAGAAACTTCCATCTATACAAAGGAATAAAGAGGAACCAATGGCTCATATGGAAAATGGCTTATTATAGCTCTGTGAAGAAAATGTGCAAGATGAGATTGAAGTCTTTTGTCGTGACTGAAAGGAAGAAAGCTAACACACACCAGGGTCACAGCAAAAGGGTTCAGAACCATCCAGAAGGGGCTCCCACTGGCCAGGCTAGGACAGTGTGCATGTCCATCACCATAACTGCAATACAGATATTGAAGTCCATGAAAGTGATTTAAATCCATAAGACTGAAAGGATGCTGAAGAAAACTGGTCCTCTTGGAAGGAGCCAACTTTTCATTTGGAAAAAGCTAGTAAATAAAAAGAAGAACCAAACATTTATCTTGCCTTTCCTTTATTAACTGTACTTCAGGGTAACCAAATAGTTGATGAGGGAAAATTTCTCTTAATAAAAGTTTTCCAGCTAATAAATGAATAAGGGATGATTGGATTATTTGTCACCACTTTGCATCCTCTAAAGAAATAAAAGATCTAAGCAAAGGTCATCAATTGCTGCTAACATCACAAAGAGAGAGACAACCAGACATTAAGAAGATACAAGAGCACCTCTGAAGTGTTTTTGCTCAGAAATGAGAGCTGAATCAGAATCTGTTGGAGCCTTCATCTAAGTGCCAATGTATAGGGACAAAGGCGACTGGGGAACATCATATACACATACACATACGTATACGTGCATATACAGAGGGCCACTAAAGGAATTTCTGCTTCTACTCATGAGTTGGGGTAGCAGGAATCAGATTTATGCTCCTACTGTAAACCACTAGAAAATTGGACAGAATATATGAAATATCTCTTTCAGACACTGCATAACAAGCAGTGCAGAGCCGTGATCCTGAAGAGAAGGAGAGCAAAGGAGGTCAGCCTACAAACTCCCTGGCTTTTTGCATAATAGTGCACCTAGGCCATGAACAGGGAGGGCACCCTAAGCAGAGTATGGTGGTCTGTGGAGGACTCAAGAGAGCTCTGAAAAATGTGGTGTCATGTTTTGAGGGGGGGGAAGCTGTGTTAAACAAGAGCTCCAGCAATCTGTATAAGGGTCTCCTTGAGTCTTTGCTGAATACTAAGATACGTATGCATCTGGTAACATCCCACCAGGCTGAGCAAAGAGTACCCAAGGAAAGTGAAAGGTTTCCAGAAGTTAGTGCTAGGAAGCATTTGCATTCCAGCAAGTCAAGGAAGTGAGACCTTATTGATCACTTGGGACATTCAGTAGAAACTCCAGAAGAACACTATAAGTTTATTTGGGCAGGTCTAGAGTATTCTCTGATTTAGGACTATTCTAGACCTGCTATAATAAGCCTTAACAAGCCTCCAAATATTCAAACTGAGCTGCAAGTCTAACACTCATTAAATGGATAAAACAAATCTAGTTACTTGACAATGTATAATTCATGATGTCCATCATTCGATAAAGAGTTACTGGACATGTTAAAGTGAAGTACATGTTCCATGATCAAGTGAAAAATCAGAAAACAGCAATACCCCTAGACCCAGAAATGACAGAGATGGTGGAGTCAGCAGACTACAGCTATTACAATATGTTGGAGTTTATAGATGAAAACATGGAGAAAAATGGAAGACAGAAAAAGGGACCTAAATAGATCTCCCAGAGATAAAAAAATGCAATGACTAAAATGAAAATTTCACTGGATTGGATTAGCAGCAGATTAGACACTATAGAAGAAAAGATTTGTGATTTAAAGACATAGCAATAAAAATAATCTAAATGAGGGGATTGAATCTAAAAAGGATTTAGAAACTAATAGTCTCAGGCTGGAGGCACGGCTCTACCTAGCAAGCATAAAACCCTAAATTCAAACCCAGTACCACACACTCAAAAATTTAACAGTCTCTGTGATAATATCAAGTGTCAGCCAAATGGGCAAGTAAAGACTCAAAGGGAGAGGATAGAGGGTACAGGATAAAAAAATATATTTTAGGGGAAAAAATGGCTGAAATTTCCTTAAATTTATTGAAAAATACAGACCCATAGATTCAAAAAGCTCAATAAACGTCTAAAGGCACATAATAATAAAATTCCTAATTCCTGAAAAACATTCTTAAAGATAAAATTTTAAAATTAGCCTAAAGGAAAAAAGCCCCATTAGACACAAAAGAATATATTTAAGAATAGTGGAGGTAAGGAACCAGTTTGGGGTATAATACAAGTATATATGGAAATGTCACAATGAAACCCCCTGTATAACTACTATAAACTAACAAAAACATTCTTTTTTAATAAATGAAGAACAGGAAGGTAAAATAGGTCCTGTTTTGGGGAGGGTACCATTGGGAAGGGGGAGGGCATAAGAAAAGGGTGAAGGAGAGTGAATAAGGTGGAAGTATTTTGTATTCATATATGAAAATAGAATAATGAAACCTGTTGAAATTGTTCTAAGAAGGGGGAAAAAAGGAAAAAGATGGAGGGGGGGGTGAATCTAATTAACATATATTTTAAGCACTTATGTAAATGCCACAATGTAGCCCCTGTACAACTATAATATACTACTAATAAAAAGGAATTATCAGATTTCCTATTAGAAACAAAGGAAGTCAGAAGACAGTAGAATGACATCTTTAAACTACTGAAAGGAAAAAAAAAAACAAAACAACTGTCACCCTAGAAGTCTATACCCAGCAAAAATAGCTTTCAAAATAAAGGCTAAACTTTTTCAGGCAAACAGAAGTTGAGAGAATGTGGCAGACAAATACTACAATAAATATTGAAGGAGGCTCTTCAGACAGAAGAAAAATAATGCCAGATAGAAACTTAGATCTATACAAAGGAATAAAAAGTGCCAGATGATAATTAGGGGGGAATATAAAAGATTATTTTCCCCATTAAAAAATTCTTTTTTTATTTTATCATTTTTACATTTACTCACATGTGTATACATTATTTGTACCACCTTCCCTCCCCACCTCCCACCCTGCCCTAAAAAATTCTTTAAAATTTCATTGCTTAAAACAGAAATTGGCAAAATTTTTTCTGTAAAGGATCAGATAGTATATATTTTAGGCTTCAAGGGCCCTACATTGTCTGCCACAACTATTCCAGTGCCCATTATAGTTCAAAAGCAGACATAGACCATGTGTAAACAAATAGGTATGCGTCCCAATAAAGCTTTATTTACAAAAACAGGGAATGGGCCAGGTTTGACCTGCAGGCCATAGTGTGCCAGGCTACTGGTTTAAAACAAACAAAAAATATAGAAATGTATTGTGATTATCACATATGGGTAGGGAAAATGTACAAAAAGAATAGCAAAGAATGGGAAGGAGGTAATGGAAGTAAACTGTTGTAAGAGTTTTCCATTACACATTATCCTAAAATAATTCGTGACAATGTGCCTATTAATCAAAGTGCTTTCCACAATAAAACAAAATGGTCAGACAATAAAGTCAATATTCAACACTAAAACATACTCAACCAATCCAAAATAAGGCGTGAAATAGACAAAAAAAAATTTTTTTAAAGGAGATAAATGGAAAACAAAGAGCAAAACAGTACACAGAATCCTAACCATATAAACATTACACTAAATGTAAATGGCCTAAACTGCTCCCATTAGCAAACAGAGCTTGTCATCTGGAAAACAACAGCCAGCTACATACTTTCTGTTTAAAAAACACTTAATGTATAAAGATATAGGTTAGAGGTAAAAGGAGGAAAGAGATACACCATGCAAGCACTAATTGGAAGAAACCTGAAATGGCTATGTTAATATCAGACAAAGTGACTGTGAGCCAAGGGACATTACCACCTATAAAGAGAAATATTTTGTAATGATTACTCTATCAACTCATCTTGAAGCCATATATATGTTATAATATATATAAAAAAATCTATATATATACACATATATATGTAGAATATTCAGAAGTCAAAGTAAGTGAAGCAACGACTGACAGAACTCAAAGAAAAAACAAATACACAATTATAGTTGTAGACGTCAACTCTCACAATTCACAGAACAAGCAGGCAAAAAAAATTCAGTACTGTAGAAGACCTGAACAATACCACTAACCAGCTTGATGGTGACACACATGGTAACAGAGGACACATTCTTTTAAACACATGTACAACACTGTCTTGGAACACATGTTGAACCATGAAATAAGTATTGATAAATTCAAAAGGATTAGAGTTATACAGAACACGTTTTCTAAGAAATTAATACCCAAAAGATTTCTGGAAAATTCCAGATATTAAAAAAATTAAACAATATACTTCTATAATGGTAATTAGAAAAATTATCAGTTTTTAAAGAAAAGTTCATAGCTTTATATGCTTATGTTAGAAAAGAATAAAGAGAAGGCTGGCTGAGTGGCTCAAATAGTAGGGTGCCTGCATAACAAGCGTGAGGCCCTGAGTTCAAACCCCAGTACTGCAAAGAAAAAGAGAGAGAGAGAGAAAAGAAGAGCCAAATCAGTATCCACCTTAAGAAGCTACAAAGAAAACAAGAACAATAGAATCATCAGAAAAGCTCTTCCTGGACCCAGGTTCACTTAGCCAGGGATGCAGGGTCATGGACCCTTAAGAAGTCTGGATTGGAATCTTAGCAACTTGGGAGGCTGAGATGGGCAGGATCTCAGTTCAAGACCAGTCTGGACGAAAAAGTTTGTGAGACCTCCATTTCAACAGAAAAAAGCTGGGCAGGGTGGTGCGCGCCTGTCATCCCAGCATTCTAGAGAAGCATAAATAGGAGGATAAAAAGTGAGACCCTATCTCCAAAATAACCAGAGCAAAAAGGGCTGGAGGTGTGGCTCAACCAGTAGAACGTCTGCCTCTCAAGCCTGAGTTCAAAACAAGTCCAGATGGGTCTTGCCCCTGGAGATACCAGCATTTAGAGGATCAACAGAATTTCTCACTTTCTGCAGCTGCCGTCCAGTCTGTGAGTCTAACTGAGCTCCGGGGTTCCCAGGGTTAACCCTGAACCGTGTTTTGGAGATTTCTTGTGGACCTTATGTCCATGAAAATTTTTTTCATTTGTGTCTAAACCTGAAGCTCAACTTAATTTTCCACTGTGGATTTTCGTAAAATATGGTGTGCTCTGGTTGTTCTGCAAACCCTTAAATTCTTCCCAAGGAGCTGATCCTGAAAGTGCACCATCTGTGGGCAATTCTGGACTCAGGAGCTCTTGGGACTTGCTGGAACCATGACTGCCTGCGGGGCAAGTCAGGAGAAGGAAATCATCCTCCACCACTGCCCACAGGTTCACAGGTGCCTGCAGACCTCTGCCGTCTACCCTGGGAGTCAGAGTTGGAACTGAGAGTCAAGGACTAAGGCAGAGAAGGGATATGACAAGGATGCAGGCCCTGGGGCTATGGCTCAAGGTCAAGGTCAGGGCCAGGTTATTGGACACAAGCCAGAGAAGAGAAGTCATTGTGATTCACCCCCCAGGGCCTACTGTTTCCACCCACTCTCAGGCCAGTGTGTCCAGCTGGAGAAGCTACTTGGGGCCATGACAATATCCCAAAGCGCGGGGCAAAGCTAGTCAGGCAGCCTCAAGCCTTGGACTGGACAAGAGCCTGAGCCCCAGTTCCCAGAATGAGTAATGGCAGAATTCAGTGATTTGGGATGGTTATCTAAAGAAAAGGTGGAGGGGGCCGCTGCAGATACACTCGCCCTCCCACCCAGGTGTTCCTTGCAGAGGTGAAAGTCTCTCCTACAATGCATTTCCTGCAATCCAATTACCAGGCTCCTGCTTCTTGGCAGAAGAGACTTCTGTGGGAAAGAGGGTTGGGACACAGGTTAGCATGATGGCAATTACAAAAACCCCATGTCACCTTTGCTGGAGCAGCACTCATTTCAATGGAGGAGAAACTGGTGCCTCCTTCCTACTTGAGAAGTGGGGACAGGTCAGGCAGAGAGGCCCAGGAGCGGACCCAGATAGGACTCTGGGAAATGGTCTAGCTTTTCAGGGGTCCTTTCTTACGTTTCTCTGGACATCAAGGGCTAAGAATGCAGAGTGGTTTAAAGGAAGTTTGGCTCAATCACGAAAGCCGGGGACAGGGCTAACACCTGCAATGCTCCTCCTGTCATCTCTCCAGGTGATCCCAACCTATGCCACCTGTCCAGTCCTGCGTGCCTTGTTGGACTGTGTATGTCTGTTAAACCATTCCACCTTACGCAAGGGCTCTGGGTGCTCCAAGTGTGCTGAATTGAATCAAATTGAATTTACTTGGCTGTGGAGGGACAGAATTTAATCCAAACTGCAATTAAATCTTCCTAATTTGAATCTGCTAATTAGAAAAAGGCTGGGCTGAAGTCAGTGGCAGTGCAGTCTATCTTTTGAGGGACTGTTCAGTGCAACAGAGAAATTGTACCTGAGAATGAGCAGAGGGCTGCGAACAAAGATCATGCTAAAAAAACCCCACACTTTCTGGCACCTAGAAGCACAGGTAGCATTTAACCATGTGGAACGACCTAATGTAGCATTCCAGGTGATCCTGGAAGGCTCTCAAAACCACCCCGACTAAGCTACTTTGCCCCGACAAATGGCTGGAAAGTGACACATATGCATCTCCCTCCTTTGAAGGATCCCCGGACCAAGGACCTCGCACTTACTAGCAAGTGCTGTGCCATTTGAGGCCCTGCTCCCAGTCCTTTTGATTTTAATCTGTTTTTCAGATTCGATCTCACACTAACTTTGACCAGACTGACCAGAAACCACACACAATCCTCCTACCTCCACCTCCCAGGTAGTAGTTTGGATGATTGTTGTGAACCACCATACCCAGCCCTGGATTTTTTTTTTTTTTTTACATTTTTTAAAAAACATTTTTGCCCTAAAAGTTGCAACAACAGCATAAAAAATTCCTGGATACCCTTCATCCAGATTTTTCAAATATTACCATTTTTGCTGCATTTCTATTCCTTTCTCTATTTGTCTCTGTAGATAGATAGATAGAGAGACAGGAAGGAAGGAAGGAAGGAAGGAGAGATAGAAAGATAAAAGAAGGAAGGAAGAAAAGATAGAAAGAAAAAGGAAGGAAGGAAGGACTGAAGGAAGGATGGATGGACAGACAGATATGGTTATGCATATGCATATGTACAAATACATTTATATATATAACACACGCCTCTGTGAAGAAAGAACTCTTTACTGAACTACTTAGAAGTATGTAGCAAGCACGAATGCCTTTATCTCTCAATACTCAGTGAACTGCACGTCTTTTTCAAGGAAGGCTCTGGTCTGACCCTAGTTAAGGTCAGCCCTCTCCTGAACTACAGCCAGAGAGTTCAGTGGGACCCAGGATCCAACAGCGAGCAACCCTGTGTCCAAGGACAACAGAGGAGATGCAGGAGATGGTGGGAGGACTTCACAGGGAACCCCCCACCACCACTGCCATGCCTAAAAGAAACAGCAACAAAACCCTCCACCTCTCTCCCAGCTTCTCTTCATGATCTTCACCTCCAAGCTCACTGGGACCCCTTCACCCACCCTGCATTGCTTTGCTGGCACACCTTGAGCCTCCTGGCTGGCATGCCCTGGCACTTCTCTGTGGATCCTTTGGTACCACCCCCTCCAGGAAGCCTTCCCCTACTGCCCTAGCTCCTCAGGATTCTCCTTCCTGCCTTTCCCCCAGGGTCCACTGTTTCATGGCTCCATTGAACTTGGAAATGTTTTGCATCCCTGTCTCCCTCCTCCCCGGCAGTACAAGGAACACTGAACACCAGACTGGTATATGATGGTGCCCAGTTACACTGAGCTAATTGCTGGAAAAAGGCCCAGCTGGGGCCATGTGGCCCTGAGGCTGGGAGCAGGCACAAAGGCTTCGGACCAGGCCCCCTGCACAATTCAAAGTGGAGAAAAACAGAAGCTCTGTGGATTTGGTAAGACCTCCTTCCCCCCTCTCCCCCAGGGCCCAGGAGACTCACCAGTCAGTGCCCTCAGCCAAATACCTGGGCTGAGGCGTCTGCAGTTGGTGGCCGAAGTCAAAACTGGGGTGGAGGCGATGGGGGTGGACAGACACGCGCTCCTGACTCCGCCTGGTGGGAAAGGAAGGAAGGCCACAGCATCAGGGTCTGCCAGGCCTGACCAGCTCCTGTCAACCCGAGGAAACCCCAGTCTCACGGTCCTCCTCAGAGCCCAGAGCGCAGTGGGCTTCACCCCTTCCCCAAACTCCAAAGAAGCTTTCCAGATGAGCAGCAGACACCCCTCTGCTCCCATTATTCGCTTCTCTCCTCCACCCTTCTGCACACTCTTCCCAGTTTTCATGGCCCAGATCAAAGCCCACCTCCTCCAAGAAGGCCTCCCTGAACACCCTAGCCTTTTCCCTCTGACCTACAATACTGGCCTGCTGTTCCCATATCCCAACCCCTATAGACACAGGACCTTGGAGATCATCTAGTCCAGAGGTTCTCAAAGTTCTCCAAGCACCCTTGGGAGTCCCTGAAACCCTTTCAGATGGTTCAAGAGGTCAAAACTATTTTCCTAATAAAACCATGATGTGATTTGTCTTTTCACCCTTGTTCTCTCACAAACAATGGAGTTTTCCAGAAACTTTGTGACACAGGAGTCTATAAAATTTAGTGCAGAAGCAGACCCAGGACATAGCTGTTAAACTGTGTGTCAAAGAGATTTGCAAATAAGTTAAAAGAAAATTACTCTCTCACTAAATGTAGTCATTTTTTGTAAAAGTATTTATAGGTTTAACCTAAGGATAGTGGTGTTACTTTTAAATAAATTAACATCTGAACTTTCGAATATGGTAAACACACGTGTTCTAATCCTCTTGAACAGAAGTTCTTGGTAGTCATTACTTTTTGAGAGTATAAAAAGAGTCCTGAGACCAAAGCGTTTGAGACCCACTGCGCTAGTCCAGCTCTTTTTCTTGACAGCTGAGGCTCAGAGACGCGTAGTGACTTGCCCAGGGCAGCACAGCTACTTGGAACCGTCTGATTAGCATGGCGTAATTGTACTCTCCATTTGTTTCCTGGGGATGTAGCTGGACCTTGACCTCTTTGAGGGCACAGCTGGAACCGCCCATTTCCTTTGGTATATTTTGTGGTTCTCGGGTTTTAAAATCAGGCGGTCATGAAGCGGGAGGGAACAAGAGAGGTCCCCTGGTCAAATCTCCTCCTGCCCTGGCCCTGGCGCCGCGCCCTCACCTGTCCCTGCCCGCCCTGGCCCCGCCCCCTTTCCTCGGCCCCGCCCCCTGCCTCGGCCCCGCCCCCGCCGCCTACCTGGGGTGCGAGACGAGCCTGCGGTGCTGAGCTTCCAGGAGCTGCTGCTGCAGGAGGTATTGCTGGTGCAGGGCCTGAGGTAGGAAGGAGGGACCTGTGACGTCCTGGAACTGCAGGGTGGGCAGCGGGGTCAGGGACTGGTGCAGCGCGCCGCTGTGCTGGTGGGCCGGGGCCATGTGGGCGCTGAGGCCCGGCTGCGACTGCACCGGGTGGGCCAGCGGGAAGTCGGGCGTGAGCTGCTGCGGCTGCGGGGGGCCCAGGTGGAAGTGGCGGCAGGAGGTAGCGTGAGGATGCTGAGACCTTTGAAAGGGGGCACCTGGAGAAGCAAGGACAGAGACGTCTCCGTGAGGACCGGCGCAGAGCCCTCCCACAGGACCCCTGTCCCCACCCCTGGGAAGCCCGGAGCTGGTACAACTCTACACCTTCATTATAACACAGCGATTCCATCACTTCAGTGTGCATACAGTCATCTTTAACACTGCCGTGCAAAGGTTCTGCGTGTGTGTGTTGGAGGTAGAAGAATGTTTGCTTCAATAAACAGATAAGCATCATTTTTATAATTAACACACTTGTCCACGGGTTTAAAAGTCCCCAAAGGCAGTTTGGCTTTCTTGAATTAGCCTTCTCCCACGCAATCTCATCCGTAGAGAAAATTTAGGGTAGCCTAGCCAAGCTCCAAACTTCACTGAGCTCTTGGCTAGCCAAGACCCAACCCAGAGGAAGTCCTTTGAAAAAGAGAAAGCAGCCAGAAGTTGCTTTGCATTGTGGTTTTAAGAGGAAGGGAGGGAAGTCACACAAAATAATTTATTTAAATAATAATAAATTTATTATAACATTAGAACTTACTGAAAAGCAAGCATATCCAGGTAGAAGCTAGGCTTGGACAACGTTTAATTTAGGCTCCTGTACTTTTAAAAATAAAATTGCGCTAGATGGCAAGAAAGGTTTGCAAATTCTTCATGATAGAAAATACAGCTCTGGGCACTGAAGGAGTCCTCCAGTCAGGCAAGGAAATAGACATGGCACTGCAGACAGATTTGCAAAGAAATTTTTTCTAAACCTGTCAGGTTCAACATAATCTGCTTCCTCTCCAACCCACTAAAATGAGAGCAACGGAATAAGGACAAGATAAACAGACAAGGACAGAAAGAACAGGAGGGGTAACATCAGCAGGCAACAGATGTCAACTGATTTTTTGGAAGATGGGAAACAGGTGGAGGAATTAGCAGGACTGAGAAATCAGAAAACAAGTGCCTATGGAAGAAGAGGTCAATAAGAAGTGAATGCCTTGCCACGTGAGGCTGGAAGAGTCAGGAATGGGAAGCAGTGGCCACTTTGGAAGCAAGAGAGAGGGTAGTCAGCAGGAGACTGGTAAGGCAGTTATACCCCAGGCTCCTCCCTTTTCCCAAGCAGGGCAGTGACCACCTTCTCAGAGAGGCCCCAATGGGAGGGGGTGACACTAGGCAATGGAGGGCAGGGGGTGTGCAGCACCATGCAAAACAGAATTAAATGAGTCTGTTTATGGAACTTTGGAACCCCCTATCTCCTTGTGCTTCTTGGGTACCAAAACCCTGTATTGGGTCCCTAAAACCCAGGTATAGTCCCTTCCCTGCACTCTCCATGAACACCCTAGGCTGGAAACTAGGGAATGGTTCTCTAAAGAAGAACATTGGTCCCAGAAGGAGCTCTACAAGTGCTTCTGGTTGAAAACACCCCTATAAAATATCTGGGTCTCCAGTGACCACTATATACTGAAGTCCATTACTCACCCCACACATACACCACACACACACACACACACACACACACACACACACACACACACAGACCTTCTGGACAGCTTTTAGTAATCTACTCCTGGACATGATCAGACAGCCCAAGGGTGACCAGTTTCCTGAGGAAGGTTACAAAGTGAAGGGGGGAAGATGAGGAAACCAAATTTTTAAAAGAGAAAAAGAAAATGACTCAAAGGAACAGAAATAGTGCAAGGGCCAAAAACAAGATAAACTTCAATATCCACAGAGAAATAAGATGTTAGATTCATGAAACAAAGGAAGCTTTTTTAAAAGGAGCAATGGGAAAATAAGAAAGTGAGCTCTTGAAAATTAAAAATATACAAGGGGAAATCTCAGCAGCGGGGTTGGAGATAAAGCTGGGGCCACTTCCCAGGAAGCAGAATGAGACGTTGATCAGAAGACTCATTAATAAGAGAGAAAGAATAGAGGAAATTAATAAAAACATTGCAAAAAAACACTTCCCAGAACTGAAGGTCTGTGATTCTAGGTAGAGAAGGTGGCCTGGATGCCAGCAAAGCAGATTGGGGTAAGAACCCCATGCCAGGACCTCACATTGTGAAATATTCAGTTATGGAAGCAAAGAGACAATTCTAGCACCTTCCAGAAAGAAAACATGCAGTTCCCATGCAAATGGCCAGAAATCAGAATAGCATCAGATATTTCCATAGTGACACTAAAAGCTTCAAAACTGTAGACACTGCCCTCCAGGTACTAAGGGAGAGGGGAGAATGATTTTCAGTCTAGAATTCTATGTCCAGCCTAATCATTAATCAAGTGTGAAAATAAGAAAAAATACAATTTCCAACATGCAGGGTCTCAAAAAAGTTAACCTTCTTGACACCCTTTCTCAAAGAAGTACTGATATGAACCAAGAAAGAGGAACGATGAAATAGGGGGCTGCACCCCAAAGAGGTGAGGCATTCCCACAGTTATGCAGGGCCTCCATGTAGGGATAGGGGCTCTGAGAGGAGATCTGGGGAGGGGGCAGGAGCAGTGAATGGAAACAACTGATAAATCTGGCTGCATACGAATGTTATTTGAAGAAGTTTTACACATTGATAGAGAATTTGGTAAGAATTTGTAAAAATATCATAGAAAGTCAACCAAAAAAAATGATTATCTCCAGGAAAAGAAAAGGTTGTGCAAGGAAGTATAATTATTAGGCACTACTTGGCTCAGTGATAAGTAATATTTATGTATTAATAAATAATTGATATACTATAGTAAGACATTTCTTTCATAATAGGAAGAACATAGACAATGTTAGAAATTTTAAAATCAGCCAGGAGCCGGTGGCTCACGCCTGTAATCCTAGCTACTCAGGAGGCAGAGATCAGGAGGATTGTAATTGAAGCCAAGCCTGGGAAAATAGTTCACAAGACCGTAACTAGAAAAAAAAAAAAATCCACAGAAAAGGACTGGTGGAGTGGCTCAAGGTGCAGGCCCTGAGTTCAAACCCTAGTACTGCAAAAAACAAACAAACAAAAAAAAACAGCAGTTGAGTCATTTAGTTAGCAATTTGTGTACTTCAGGAAGTCCATACTGAGAGTTGGAAGGGTTGAACGGGAGGCAATTTGACCCTGGTGGGGACAGAGTGACAACAGAGGCAGATTCATACTGGTCTATTCAAATACTAGTTGTACAGTGGGGTTTCTTTGATAGAATTTCTTAAATAAATACTTTCAAAAAGGAAAAATAAAAACAATTACTTTCTGACTCTAAGTGAGCCAGAAAGTGCACTTCCCACAAGCGTTCAGGTAATGGGACCTCTCTGCCATATGAATTCTGGCTTCAGTGAGACCAGGGGTTAGAGCATGCGAAAGCAGATCCTGAGTGTCCCTTCTGCTTACGTCATCCATCACACTTAACAGACAATAAAAAGAGGAAAAGAGGGACAACAAGGCAGAGAGAAAGAGGAAAGAAGAGCTGTGACAAAGGAGCAAAAGACAGATGTGACTACAGAGAAAGAAATGGGATTTTAAAAAAAGAAAGAAAGAATATTGAAAGACCAAGCCACCCCTGCTCAACAGAATTATAATGGGAGCCAATTTTAAATACTGGAGTAGCCACCTTTAAAAAGTAAAAAGAAACAGGTAAAATTAGTCTTAATAATGTTATGTAACGATATATCTAAAATATCATTTTAACTTGTATTCAATGTAAAAATTATTGAGTTATGCTACATCCTTTGTTTCCGTACTGTCTCCAAGTTCTGGTGTATGCTTTGTGCTTACGACATCTCTCAGCAGGGACTAGCCACATGACAGATGCCCGGTAGTCACTTGTGGTTAATGGCATTCCTGAGGGAAATTCAGAATTGGCAGCTCTGAAGAAAGACAGCCAACTCCATACATAGAGCAAAGCTTCCTAGCCAAGTTTCCCAGTTGGTCTGCCCTCAAATGGAGGACCCCTCACCTCTTACTGGTAAAATCCGAGCCCCTGAGCCTGACATCAGAACTCCATCCTTCCAGGACTCCTTCAAGCCAGCCCCACACCCCACACCCCACACCCCACACCCCACACCCCACACGGTGCTGACAATCAGGAGATGCCTGGATGTCCTCTTGACGGTTGGATGGAATGAGGGGAAAGACCTGGCTCACAAGGGCTCAGGTACTGGGCCTGACCGAGGACGAACTGGTGGGAATGTGAGTGGGAAAGAGAGGAAAGAGTAAACACTGGGTGAGCGCTGGGTTTAATGTCCAAGCACAGCAGAGGCAGATTGGGCAGGGTTGACTAGCACTGGTGGAGCGTCTCCTGCTGCCAGGGGTGGCAGCTGCCCCTCCTTTCCCATGGCCCCTTCTGCCCCGGGTACCCACTGCACAGCAGAACCTGCAGGCGCCCATGGAGGCCTCCAGGGCAGAGGGCTAAAACCCCAGGCCTTGCAGGGCGGGTGGGGGGGGGTGCTTCCCACAGCCTGGGCCCTCCAGGCTGTGCAGGAAAGTGAGAGCAGGAGAAAGGTGGACAAAAGTGTCTGTCTCATTATATTTCAGGCAATTTGTACCTGCAAAGTCAATTTCCTTTGACTTCTTTTCTGGGAGTCTGCACTCCTCCCTTGTCATCTCCAACCCCAGAGTGGTGCTCTGTCTCACACCCTGCTCAGAAGGGAACTGAAGGCAGGAGACCCCATCTTGGTCTGCCCTGGGCCCTTCCTCAGTCCTATGTCATGTAAGGTCTGTGAAAGTACCATGTAACAACTGCTCTGTTAGGGGGGCGGGGGGAAGGGGGGCGAAATGACCCAAACATTGTATGCACATATGAATAAAAGAAATTTAAAAAAAGAAACTGCTCTGTTTGGCCTCAAAGACTGAAAGAGTGAAACTCTCAGGGGACCTTCTGAGATCCTTGACAAGCCAATGACCAGTGATGTCTGAACAACACTGACACCCCCAAGCACCCCCCATTAGTAGACAACCTGCAGTTTTTCCCATCAGAGTCACTCCTTCCAGTTAAAAAATAATCTCCAGATGTCTCTGATCATTTATCATATTTCCTCAGGACCACAATGCCACCAATTTGA